TTTTTTTTTTTTTTTTTTTGTAGCTGACAGTGCCAATGAGAGAAAAAGACCAGCTACTGGAACAGTTACAGACCCAAATTAGAGATCTAGAACGTTATGTGAACTATCTTCAAGGCGAAAGTGAAGGAAAAGTCGTTACTGCAATAGCTTCAAAACCGTTTGTTCGTCCGAAATCGAATCCTTTTTTGAAGTTTACAGGATGTTCGAGCAGACGTTTCGAAAGAAATGAGTTAAAAAATACAATTATCGGCCATCATTACGGGTATTTTACTATGCAGATTAACTAATACTTCTTTTTTCATTTTGGTTTTCCACTGTGTATCTTAATTTATTGATTCGTATTTGTATTACTTTTGTATTTGTAGAGACGTCCTTGCACGATTCAAAGTCGCTGTAGACGCCACTATAAATGTAATGGAGAAACATTTTATTTTGTCAGTTGATGGTCGGCCTAGTTGGACACGCACCGAAGAGGAGGTTGTCATTTTGTTCCTGAGCACGGCAGCAAAGGACTTTAGGATTTTTTTGTTTGATCAAATTTTAATTGTCACTAGACAACTTTCTGCGGTTTTTGGTGTGCTATCAATTTCTAGAAATGAAATTGAAGAGCTTTTAGAAAGAATGCGATAAAAATGACGAAGAAGTCGTAATTGTTGTTAGAAAGGAGCTTTGTTCTTCCCTGCGCGCATTGCTTGAACACGGTATGAATGCTGCTATTACAGAGCCTTCTAGTTCGTTTATCCCGTTTGGTTGTTTTTCTACGAAGTCTCGAATGCGTCGCTTCTCTCGATGTAAGTCGTAATACGAAAGACACGCTTTTAATCTTCGAATTTGTTTGTTATAGATATTGTAGTACGCTTTTTTTTACTTATTTGTTCTTTAGCCTCTTTAAGACCGTTGAAACACATTTGGGACGTTATCATGTATTATTATGACACTAAGAACGAGTATGAACTTGGAGATATATCGGTTCGGAAACTCTCACAAAGCTTCCAATTAGATAATGTTGGAGGTCATACGGTTACTTCTAAACAGGTATTAACGTTGCAGTTTTTTGCCCGTTTTCTTAGTTTAACGATTTCCAGTTTTTTAATGTTCAGATTTTCCTGCTTTTCTTCTTAATATTTAAGGTTTTCTCGCTTTTTTAATTTACTGTTTTAATAAAATTAACTTTGCTTGCTCCCCTCATTATTCTTTCTTGTTAGTGCTGTATTACTTTCTTGATTTCATTCCAGTTCGTTTAACTGACAAATCAATTTAGATATTGCTTTCGACTGTTGAAAGCATACTTACAACGCACAAACGGCTGAAGAGATCGGCCGATGCAATGTGGAAAGCGTTTGTGTGCGCGGCTCTGAATGAAAAAAAGTTAGCTGCATGGATTCGTATTATTTTTAGGAATCGGAAGATTGTCGAAAGTTGCTACTCCTCTTGGGCCTACGTAGCTCGAACAGGTTTTTCTACCTCATGATTTTTATTACATACATTCGTGCAAATTACACTTTTAAAAAATTTTGAGATAAATTCGTGTTGGAGTGGTACTTCTGTGTGATTTCCATGCCATTTTAATTTATGAATTATCGTTTTCAAGGGTTCGAAGATTGCTCTGTAATGCTGGATACATTCCGTAAGTTTAGTCCTGACCTCCCCGTTGATTTGGCAGTAAGACCTTTTTACCAAATGAAGGATGCTTTTTGAGAATTCAGTTGGGTGCACCATAGTCGATATAAAGTTGTAAACTAGTTTTTTTCAATTGTCTTTCTTACATTACTTTTGCTTGATTTCAACGTTTTTTAATGTTAATAAGTGATGTTTTTTTGTTATTTTTAGTGTCACTAAATAAGATTTTTCAATTTACGAGACTGAGGTTTGAATTAAGACACGTTGTGATTCATTTTCCTTCAATCTGTTCTTCACTTTTTTCTCATTTGTACGCCATGTGGCAGTCAATAATCTCTCTAGTCTATTTTTTGGAAGGCGTTTTTATAAACTTTCTTGTTTTACAACCGCTTTTCATTCAATACTCTGCTGTTCCAGTCATTTAAATTTACGTATATTTCTGTTTATATATTTGTTAATTCTGTACCGATTATTGTTTTACTTAATTTTCGGGTTTTTTACAGTTCCTTATGTAACATTATTCTCACTATGATGATATCATTTATTCTGCTTCCTATAACTGTCTGTTTTTTGTTGAGTTTTTTGATTAGTTAGCTCGTAGCATCCAAAGTAGCCGAGTTTAATCCGAGAAAAAGAGTTCTCTCCTAAGTTTTAAAAAATGAAGTTGAAGAAGCAGTAAATGAAGGTCGGGGATTATCGTCGTTTTTCTTTGCAGGGTTTTTTTTTGTTTTTCAAAGGCTTGATACGGGCTAGTCGCTTCCTTTCTTGCAGTTTCTCTTTCGCCACAGTTATAAGAATTTTGAAACCATGCCATGATGTCTGAGATTCCATTTATGTAATTCTATCGTTGTATAGGGTGTTTGAAAGCTGATTTTTTATTCAGGTTGTTATAAGATGGTCAGAGAGTTTTGCATGGCAAATGGTAGTTGTCCTCTAAATTATTATGTTCACCAGAAGTGTGTTGTTTTTTGGGAATTTAAAATTGATTTTGTGGTGCTTGTTCACGTTGATCATTTGTCAAATTTACTGAAGAGTTTGGTTTGTTTGAGTGCTTAATTTTTAGAGCAGCTTACCTGTCAGCATTTTACTTATTTTGTTGTTGATTTCGTGGACTCAATTTACCTTCTCTCTTTACTGCTTAAAAGGGTTTTCTTCCCTCGACGAATTATAATTGTATGAGCGCTGGTTGTGGTGATTTTTTGTACTTTTTTCTTCTGCTGAAGTGCTGCTTAGCAGTTGACATTCTTGGAAGTATTTGGTGTTTTTCTTTCTAATGTAAAGCCACTACTGGTGGTGGTTATCACTCTTCGTTGACAAAGTGACAATAAAAAGTTGGATGTTTTTTGCAGTTGAAGATGTCCTGCCAGGGAATGGTTAGAATGATGAGAGGTCACGAGTGCCTGTATTGGTTTCGTTCATTTACAGGAGGAAATGTTTAGAGCTTATCCAAAGTAGGCTAATTGGTTGAATCAATGGAAGAGGAATCTGGCTTGTACAATTACGGTAGTCCCTCACCATTGCTTTGCGTAAAGTGAAGTTGGGAGGGTTGGGAAGCGAGGTGTGTACGTACAAAGTCGTTTTGGTTGAAAAGGGAAGGCTGGGGTAGAGAATTTGAGTGTAGTTGAGCGGTTCTGTAAACATGGTTTTGGGTAAAAAATGTAGTTGGAAGAAAGAGTTGGAGACGCCTGTTGATGTATTTTGGCTGCAGAAATGCATTTTAGAAGAGTGATTAAGTGAAATTTTTATTTTTGTAAGGTATTCCTGAACATTTAAGAGTATGAGGCAAATCGCACAATTTTTTCTGATGGTTTTAGGATCATGAAAGTTCATTGATATTTTTCAAAACCACTTTGGTTCTTGGAAAAGTGGTTATTCCCAGTAGTTACCGTGTTCAATATATGACATCTACAGTTTATTTATTAATTATATAGGGCTTGAATACCAATTAGCTTGTTCTGTTACTCACAAAAACTATATGTTAACCGGTTTGCTAGATTGTCTTCGATGACAGCTGAGAAGTGAGGATGAAACGTGCTTTTCCTTGTGAGGTGGTGGTAGAGAAAGCAATTACATTGCGAGCGAGTAACTTGCGAAACTGCAAAATTTCTGTATTCAGTTACTGTAGCTTTTTTCGCTGAAGCAAAGCGATTTGTAGCACGTAGATGAAGATTAAGAATTTTTTTGGTAGTTTTCATTGCTGGGGGTAGAGTGTCTTGAATGTTATTCTTGTTATACGTTTTAGAAAAATAAACAATTTATTTATATATTACTTAGGTTATAACCGGCAGTAGAATAAAATTTGCAGTATGTTTTGAAGAGTAATTATAATAAACCATATCAATGTTGGCCGATTTATATAGGAGCCATGCTCTTTTTGATATACGGCACTTCTTGACACCTGGTGAAGAGGTAAGTGCTGATCAATTTTTTGTTACATCTTTTACCTCAAAAATTGCATTTTAACAGGATTAGCCTTCCTCATATTGTTTTAGTCTAAACTGCAGCTATTAGTAAAAAACTATTTTTTTTCACCGAAAGTGGATGATAAAACATTTTTGCTTTCTCACTAGATTGGAACATTCTTCTTATTCACATTTGCAGCCTGATCAACATTTATTGAGATGACGATTTTGGTGAATTGTAAGATTAAGGAGAGATAAAAGTCTCATTTACTTCAGTAAAAGTTAACTATGACATCGTTTTCCTTTGTATCATCGCTTTATTATGATTAACATATACAGATTGGAGACAATGTGAACCTTTTTAAAGATAACATGCTTGGATGGAAGTCTTAAATCTTTGGCTGTTGGTACGAGCCACGGCCGACTTATGTTCCTGAATGCGATGGACAGCTCTGAATCTACGAATGTACCAGTAGTCGTTTCGGATATGTGCTACCGTTTTGTCGATTTACCTGTTTGTGCTGACTTTTTTGCATAAGATTATGAGACTATTATATGCTCTTCAGTAATAGGATTGTTTTGATCCTTTGCTGACTGATTATTTTTGTAGCCAAACGTCCCAGTTAAGCAGTTAATCCACGCATCAGCGTTCGATTATGTGTTGGCTTTAGTTGCCTCGAAATTATATCTTGTAGAAAAGAAGAACCAAAAGGTTGTTGGACTTATGAAAAGTACTAATATTCATTTATACACTTCCGTAATTGAGAAGAAATCCTAGCGCAAAAGTTTTTGTTATAAGTTTTTTCTATTAATGAGAACAAGAATTAATTTTAAGAACTCCGTCCATCTTAAAAGTTTCATTCCGACCTTCGAAATAGATTATTTGGTTGTCTTTTAATACCGCTTTGTCTAGGCAGTACTCTTGTTATTTTCAAAAACTAGCAAAAGTTCCAGGTTCACTGTGGTTCTCTGAGTACACTGGTGACAGCAATTGCTCTAAATACGAATCCGACTGTTGATAGTCCATTTGTTCTGCAGTTTGCAGCGTCAAGTAATGATAAGCAAATTATAATATATAATTTACAAGGAAAAGAATTGAATGTTGAAGCAAAAGTTGATATCTTCGGAAATGCATTGTGCTTATGCTACTGCCGTCGATGTATATGCTTTGCCACTTCGAGTTCTTATTTTGTTCATGATTTGAACTCCGGCAAAACGCGTACACTTTTTCCTTACGATATTGTCACAACAATACCAATTGTGACGAATGTTGGTGTGGTCAGTTCCTTATTGACTTGTTATTTTTATAGCATTGGTGAAACAGCAGTTATTTTTTCCTAAAAAGTGACTAGTCTATCTTAACTCTTCTCTGTGAAAACAAAGCTTTATGAAAAAACTAATTACAGGATGAATTTTTGTTGAATGGGATGCAAGGTCTTGGTGTATTTGCAACTGTGAGTGGAGCCTCATCTCGGCCTCCAATAGCTTGGGGAAGCGAGAAGATTATTTCTGTTGTTTGTCGTTCCAATTATATATTTGTACTCAACAGCTCCTCAATAATTATATTTGAGTGTGTTTACCATACTACTGCTGACTTTTTTCAGATATCATTTCATACTGTTCTCACCAGTCCATTTAGATGTTATGAAGGAATTCGAGAAGTTCAAAGAATGACGCTTGATCACGGAACTTTTCTTTATAATTTGGATGGTCAAATTGTTTTCTCCCATTCTAATCAGTTCTGTTTGCTTCAACAGATTCACTGGTTTGAAAGGGTTTGTTGAAATCATTTACTGAAGACGTAATATAATAAATTATTCATTTAAGTAATTTAAAAACCATTAGTTTTTGAAATCTTTGCGTTGTCACTACAGGCAGAAGAGGCTCTCGCTAGTGGAGATGCTGAAGGAGCTTTACGTATTGCGCAAGACGCGGTCTATCATTCT